ACCCCCCCTGCTCATCGACCTGCGTACTTACTTTCTCTGTTTTTCATTCTTCACAGTTTCATAGCTCTAACTAAATCAATGTGTTTCTGATTTCCACAAGGTCAGGCCAGTTTTAACAAAAACAAAGGAACAATATAAGGATAACAAACTCAAACTGATACCAAATCCAGGAAATTGATTTAACCATAACATTGTAGCACATGTAAACATTTAGATAAACAGATAAGCTTTTGTTATAAATCATTAACATATTTTGTTTCCTGTATTAAACTTGTGATGCAGGGGAGCATACAAGCATGCGTACATCTGTATTAAGAAGATGTAATAACATAATGGTCTGTTGCCATGCACGTGTCCCCAGCCCTGTGGTTTTTCCACGAGGTGAGCGTGGGTGCAGAGAAGACGTGTGGTTGTGACCATGTCTGCCTGAAAACAGCACACTTGTTAAATTGGGACTAGGAAAGAAATGGTTTTATATCACCCCCCATTTCTCATTAAAAAAAAAAAATCTAAACTTGCACAAACTCTACAAACTCCAGTGACCCGACACCCAAACTGAAGCGGTTAATAGACAGCACAGACATGTGGAAATGAAACACAAAGCAAAGCAAAATGAGGAGGTGGCACATTAACAGCAACTGACCAAAATAACCCAAATGTCTATGCTGTTCTAATTATTCGGTGCCTTGTGTGATTTTTACTATTTCTGGATATAAATGCAACTGTGTATTTTGAGAAAACATAAAACAGATGGCTATATAAACGTCAAACGTTTAACTCATAAGCACGTAGCTTGTAATGGAATTTACCACGGTGAGTCAAAAACATATCAAACCAAAACTTGTCTCACATGCCAATAACAGCTGTAAGGAAAACATAAAGTACTTTGGATGTTAATAAGATACAAGGATGTTGTACATTTCTTTAGCTGAACTGAAAAAAAACCCACTGTCACACACTAAGATGCATCACTGCAGAAAAACAGATTCCTGGAACACAGAAACAAGCTTAGGCAAGATGCTGTGGTCAAACAAAAACCAAAGAAAACTGTTGGGAAATCAAATCTTATTCACTCTCTGGATATTCTCTTCTCAGTGAGTTCAGTGACAATATATTAAAGTCTCTTCTGTACTGAAAAAGACACATTAGATCAGAACCTGTAAGCATCTATGAGTAAACCTGGGATTGACAAGATATTGCCAGCTGTATCTTTTGTAGTTTTAAGGTACATAATCCCACATAAATGTTTGCCCATGGCACAGGAATACTAACTGGAGAGTATCCTGACGTCCTAAGCTGCGTTTCCACTGTCGGAACCTAACAAGCTGTACACCTCAAGCTTCCCTTAACTGTCACCTGGCATAACCTCACAGGTTGATGCAGACCGTTCTGCTTTGCTTTTCCACTGTATATTTCACTGTCGGTCTCTGTTTTGAGGAGGGTGGGGCTGCGCTTCTCACACTCACACGCACACACACAGAGCTGAGCATAGCATGTGGGTAAAGGATTACACTGCTCCAAAGCAGCAAAATCGGCCAGTGATGGAGACTGTATGAGCAGTTTATCAAACGCAGAACCTGTTCAACACATTTTGGTAGGTTCCTATGATGGAAAAACCCTACTAGTGGTCAAGATATATACGTACATAATTAAGAACTTTTGTTGGAACTTTATTGGTCGGCGTCAGGGGCTCTAGACAAAAGGTGCCATGTGTTCACTGTATGACCTGAAATTGACTGGTATTTGAAGGTGAAAGACGAAGGATGGTGGGGCCAAAAAAAAGACCCTTGAGTAGAATGAAACCCACCTCTTCATGATCTGGATCTCCAGACACCATCTCTCCTTGTTTCTCTCGCTCAGCTCCTGGCGGCACTGCTTTATAGCAATCTGCTCCTCTGTGTCCTAAAAGTGCACATGTGTACGCACACACATATACAGAGAATGTTGTTATTAGGTATTACGTTACACTCCTGTGTGTGTGTTTACATTTAGAGCTGCGATAAATGAGTATTTTCATAAACAGTTAATCTGCCAGTTATTTTCTGAATCTGTATATTGGTGTATGAAAAAAATCAGAAAACAGTGGAAAGATGTGCATCACAATTTTCTAGAGCTCAAGGCGACGTCCTCAAATTTGTCCTTTTTTCCCCCAATCAACAGTCCAAAATACAAAGATATACAGTATTTAATTTACTGTAATGCTAAGACAAGGAAAATCAGTAAATAGTTGCATTGGAAAACCTTAAATCACTGAATGTTTTCCAGTTTAGCTTGACAATGACTTTAAAAATTATTTAATTATTAAAACGGTTTCTAAAATAATTTTCAGCCATTTGACAAATCTATTAATCATTGTATCTGGATGTAGCAAATGCAATGTGCACATGTATACGGTGCAAAGCCGAAACCACTCAGCTATCAGGGCACCACTTACGGTATGTAATGTTTTTAACGGTTTAAATACAATGTAAATACTTTAGCAGGAGCAAACTGGCTTAAAGCTTTATTCATTTGCCGGAGGCCCCATAGTAAAGTGTTTCTGCTAAATGATGAACAGACAATAAAAAAAACAGGGATGGTCTACAAACCATGACAGAGATACAAACACAGCATACATGGTGACACATTTACCTGCAGAGCACCAATACATAGTGTACATCTAACCACTTGCCAAAAATGATGAGCAACACAAGAACATCACTCTGAATGTTTCTCATTGCATCATCAAGGAAAAGGTACCCACCCTGCTACTGATAATGGATCTAAGATCTCATAATAGCCCACAGTATTGTCATTAATACAGGAAATGTCCTATGTAGGAAGTTCAGTCATCAGGGCAGCAGCAGGGGCACTAGTGCCCTCTTCAATTACGTCATTTTCCTCTGAGATTTTCCCACATCCTATTACACTGATTACACTGTTAAGTCATACACGAGCTGCTCTTGAACACTGCTTCCTTCAGTACTGAAAATAGCAGCAGAAGTCTTCAGAAAGGCATTTTCATTCACTAAGAACGTGTAATTATAATGTCAGAAATGCGGCCACCAGGGGAGCAGTCAACAGCTTGCATATTTAAAGTGATGAGAAGTGTTTATGTAAAAACAATGAAACAGCTATAAAAATGCTTTTCAAGACACCATATTATCAAATGCTTTACTACAACTGCTGATAGTCCCTCACTTGAAAATCCACACGATGTTGCCTGAATCAAACAAAGCTCTGTCTGCCTCAAAAATAGGCGTGAGAAACACACATTAAGTACAGTTTTAACGAGAGGAAGAGGAAGATCCACTGAGCAGGTCTGTTTGTATTCCCATGGTGTCCTCTTACTAATGATGCAACTCTACAATGCCCTCATCCTGTGACTTACAGTGATATAATTAAAACAGGCACAATTTCGACTGGACTGGGTCTACAAGAAGACAGGTTAGTGGACTGATGTCATACTATTTTCAAAAACAATGACTCCTTCCTTTTTTGCAATGAGAGTTCTTTTTGCTGCAATTTTAAGAAGGCATTTTAAGGTTCCAACATTTGTAAACATGACTAGGAGGTCTTTTCTTGGTAATATATATTGAAGTCATTGCTTCTGTAAGTTTTATATATAACTTTACTTGGCAAAAGTTGTTGTTTTTACAGTTTTCATTTTGTTGATGTTACTGGGAAATGCCAGCGGGACATCTTCAGCTATCTTCCATCTGAGCGCTTAAATTGTCCAAGCACTTCAGTGTAATATCATTTTGTTTAAACATCCTCTTTTTGGAGGAATTCCCATTCATTCAGTTTACTAACCTGTCTTATTACAGCCACAAATAAAACATACATTTCCCACAGGGTAAAGATGTAACACAGTGTGGACTGGCCACCTTATTTTGCCATCTTGTGACATTCCCAAAGCCTCCGGTGCCCAGACGCTCCTTCAGCTCCCAGGGTCCACAGTTCTGCGGCTGCTGCAGGGGAACTCGATTCATGGCCTCCCAGTCCTACAACCACTACAACAAACAACAAGAATATACTTTACAGTCTACAATCATATTAGTGGCTCTGCAAAGCTCACAACAAAAAACTAAAATTCAGTCCATTAATAAAAGATGGGGATGTAACTTTGCCTTGTGTTGACACTACTAGGGCAAAAAATGTAAAGTTTGGCCTAAGAATGTCACCAGAAAAAAATGCCTCATTGTCATCTAGTCCTAAACCAAAACCGTTAATCAAGTGGATATTTAGGAAAGCTCAGGCTCAGCTCTACACCGTCAGCTCTTTGCCCAAATTGTAATCAGTTTAGGCTCAGCTGGAGCTTGGTCATGCTGATATGCTACAAATTAGCCTACCATGTCAAAATAATTTTTGAATAGCTACAAACAGGTGACAAATGAAAGGAAAAGCCAACATAAAGTATCTTAGTAAGGTGTTAGGCCATCACACGCTGCCAGAACAGCTTTGGTGTTGGCACTACAAGTCTCTGAACTCTGGAGGGATGAACACCATTCTTCCAAAAGATATCCCCTCATCTGGTGTTGTGATGATGGTGGAGATGATGTCTAACACATCACTCCTAAGTTTCTCCCATAGGTGGTCAGCTGGGTTCAGACCAAGTGATCATTTTCACATTCATCAAACCATTCAGTGACCCCTCGTAACCTATGGATGGGGGCACTATCATCCTGAAAGAGACCACTCAGAGATTTTCCTTTAATTTGTCACCTTATGTTAGCACAAATCTCAAAGTATTGCTGCATTATATGTTGTCAGATAATAAGAAACAGACCTTGTTACAAAATCTGTGGATTAAATGAAGTAAATTAAGTATCTTACAGGCTATTACCAGGCCTGTTTATTACTGCAGTGACAGTACATGCACCAATCAGGCTGCTTCGGTTTTTAATTGCATGCTCATCTATTAATATTGATCTCACTTCTACTTTCATAACAAAATTATGCATTCAAATGCTAAAGACATACTTTCCTTCTGTTTATGTTTTCTGAAGCTGTTACAATGAGCTGCAACGTCACTGTTTTCGATTTTTACTGTCATGCGGACAAGCGCTTCAGCTAAAGTATTATTTCATCAAAATCCTACCTTATTTTTCGTAGGCAGCGTTCACGCGATTTCACACCTGATTCCCTTTGAATAGTTCGTGTATCTTATCTTTAAACTTGTTAAACTTCAAACACTATAGTTGTAACTTTGATGACACAACAAATGTGAAAACTTTCTAACGCTACTTCCTGAAAGTCATATTTCCTGTAAACCTGCTGAGACACGCCCACAAAGAGGCAGCGTCCTCGTGCTTACATCCAGTTGCTAGGTTCACGCGGTAGCGGAAGTGTGTAATACCACAGCATAAAAATACTACAAGTAGAAGTAACGTGTTACTTGAGTGAAAGTACAAACATATGATAAAATATACTTAAAGTAGCAAAAGTAAAAATACTTATGGTGCATTTCACTTAATGTATATCATACTGATTGAATTGGAATTCATATTTGAACATACCTATATAAAGATATCTGTGTTATTTTGCTGTGTTTCCCTGTTGAAGCCAAACTATGCCAAAACTGACCCAGGGGCACTCAAAGGGTGTTTCACTGTGCTCCATCTATTTAAATCTCCCAGTTTTCTGTCTTCTCCTCACTAGAAAAAGAAACACATAGTCTCTGAGGCAAAGTACAATGCCCAGACAACAGCTTATCATATCATAATGTTGTGTTAAAGCTTAAAAAAGCACCATAAATGTATTTACTGATGTTGTTATGGAGCATTTGGGGAATGGACATAATACACTTATAATGTGCTCAGTTTTACAACGTTTCTCTAATGGTTGGATCAGCTTTCCAACCCATCTCACACTGCAGATTGACTCCTATCTGTGTCCATGTCCTGACAGCTCATCTTTAGTATTACCTTACATCACCTTCTTGGTTACACCTGAGAATGCTTTTATCGTTCATGTCGTACGTAATCACAATTTATCAGATGCTGAAGCTATTTGGTGAGGATGCACTTCAGAATTTCCAGAATAAGATACATCAGTGCTGCTCATCATTTCATCATCTGCTTTTCTTGGACCAGGTGAAAACAGATAACTCATTCCAATGCAACCTTCAAGCCTCTTCTGTATTTGGTTACACATGTCTGACGTTTTCTGATGTAATCGTTGTGTGTGTGTAAGACCCACTTTATCAAACTGGAAAAACATTTCTGTTTATAGAAACAAAATGTAGTGCTGATGCTTTTCCAGTGAGGATAGTACACAACAGTGGGCTTTGTGAAAGAAAAGACTAAATACAACTTATAATGAAAGACCTTTTGTTTCTAGCTGTTATTTAACTCTCTTTAGTTATGTAAACCTGTGGAAATGACTCTAACAGTTATTGTAGGTGTGTTTATCTGGCTACATAAAAGGCCGCTTTTACAGTGATAAATTATTTGCTTAAAAACTTAATCTGTAAATTTAACTTTTCACAGCTGTAGCTAAACAGTTGATTTGATGTAAAAATATACACAGCAGCCTTTTTTTTACTGTATGCAAAGTTCTATTGTCACATCAAATAGGAAACTGAGTTGTGTCATTGCTCAGATGTCACGAACACATATTTTTGTATATTCATTATACATGGCACTTGCTACTTTGTTTACAGATTTGGAGCGTCAGAGTCCAAGGGATTGTGAAAGCACTGACTCACACATTAAGAGGGTGAATGGATTTGTCCAGTTTTTGTAATTTGTACACAGATAATAATTGTACACGATTTGTACACAGGTCTCAAAGAGATGCACTCCTGGCTGAGATGGAGGAACCTGAGAATAACTGTCACCTTGAGTCATCTAAAGTGAACTTCACAGCCCAGTGAGTCTATGTTAGTGTGTTTATTTGTGATTCTACTCATCAAATAATGGGAATGTGCGCTAATTTAACACAACAGCAAACAAAAAGGACACCAAGCTAACTATCTACAACCACTTCATTCTAAGATGCTGTTTTCAGCTATTTAATTAGGAGTTAATAGACAGTAAAAACAACAGACTTCGATGATCTAATGCAAATAAAATCATGTTACTGTTCTTGAGGCTAAGTGAATTCCTGAGGGAGGGGTGGGTTGAATAAAGAGGATGGTGGTTGTAACAAATGACTCCTGGTGCCAAATAGTTAGCTAACATTGGTTAGCCACAGCTCATTAAAGACTGCCAGGGGTTTGTTGGTGTTTATCTCACTCAACACCTATTAGACTCCATCTTAAAGCTCCAGTAGTTTCAGCTTTGTTGTATCCTCTCTTAAAATAATGTATCAATATTATGCTTCACATAAGCATCCCATTGAATCCCCATTTGTGTTCCAATAAATAAAGGATGACCAAGAGTGGATTACCAGCTGGACAAAGTAGGCAGCTACCCAAGAGCCCCAGACCTCCAGAGGCTCTGAAAGCTCTGGGTTTACTTTGTCAATTTGGTCTACAGCGTGAAATGCAGATTTGTTAGAAAAAACAAGTATGACAGATATATAGACTCTATACCCAAGGTGTTTTTTGAGGGGCCAGGTTTTCCTTATTCGATTCATAGGTTTAAGGACAAAGGAAATCCCACCTGTACGTGGCTTTTGAGGCAAATTTGTGATATTGATCTAAATAAATTAGATTTGACTTCACTTGACTTGGAAGACCTTTACTGTTAAGTTTATATTTTGGTAGTTTGTAAAGTTGTGTTTTGTCAAATTACTTCAGAGTAACAGGGTGTTACAGAAGAGTGTAGTACTGAACCGAGACACCATGTCCTGCCCCATTTTCACTTGATTTATCAGGCAATATGTAAAATCTCAGTTAATGTACCTTCAATTTTTTTCTGTTAAGTAATTAACACAGAACACAATGAGCAACGCCATACTGGTTCATCAGCAAAGGAGACAACAACAGTTTAGTTATATTCAAATGAAAAACAAATCATTTTGACTATAATAGTGTATTTATATTTTCTCTCGGGTGTTAAAGGGGTTGATAAATCCTAGATTTTTCGAAGTTTTATTTGTTCTTGATTGGTGTCACAATGAAAGACACCGAGGACAATGATAACTAAGGATTTCCTGATAAAATACCCCTGAATAAATAATAATTGATTACTAAGATCGCGGCGTCGGCACCGCCCAGCAGGCTGCGTCATCAGCCCCGCTCCCGCGCTGAGATCACAGCGGCCCCGCCCCCTTCATACACCGGCGGTACCGCTGCGATAAAAACTGGGAGAAGAGAGGTAACCATGTCAGTGCAAGCAACCAATCCCAAGGACACAGAGAGTCTCCATCTACCGCAAAAGTTCTGAGAAGATTCCTATTTGGTAGGAGCATTCTCCTTTTTGTTTCATGTCTATTATGCACCAGGCTGTGTTGTCTAACTGTAACAACTGCAGCTCTTTGTGTTGATTCGTGCCATTCTAGCATCACTGGTATCTGAGGTTGCAGAGATCATAGGATAGACTTAGAGAATGATAGCCTTATATTAAAATTATGCATGTTTGTTATTTGATTTGGCAAGGAGACAGGTGAAATCTGTTATATTCGATTTTTTGCATTTGCATTAAAAGATATTTGCAATATGCATATAAAAGTAATTGAAGAAAGCAGTTCAACAGGTACTTTTAAGTTGAATTAGATTATTATTACTATGGCTGGCAGTATTTCATCACTGTTGTAGGTGGCATGCTCTAGTTTTACAATCTCATGTGAATCATGAATCGTGAATCATTTAAACATTGTTGTAGCTGCTCTGTAAATTAACCTGCAACGTTGTGTGATTAACAACTGACTCAGCTTGATGCAGTGTATTGCATAGAAGGTTTTGCTCAATTTTAAATTGTAGGCTTACAGCTGAAGGTTTAATTCCTGTTTTCACATACAAACAAATGAGCAAGCATAGGGTAATCACCTGATGCTTGCTCATTTGTTTGGCATCCCAATATTTGCTCACTTTGACTTCAACAGCTCTAAAAAGTCATCTCTTTCCTTCTACATCCACCTGTGGAGTCTGTTAAGAATGCGTGTACAGTTGCCCCCCAACAGTACACTGAATATTAACTTGTCCTCCTCTAACAATCAGTCATTTCTGTTATCGAGGTCATTTCAAATCTATTTGCAACACAAGATCACGAAGCGTGCTTCTTGAAAATTTAGGCAAATGTGGTGATATTGTACTCTGCTGTTGTTCCCAGTGCACTGTTTTACTGGAGAACACTCAGGCTATAGGATACCATGTACATGCCTTTATTTCTCTTAATATGCGTGTGTCTGTGTATCACTCCAGCCAAGACCTGCACAGGATCACTGGTATTATCAGGCTAATTAGTTGGATATGCATCCAGACTGACATTTTAGGAGTCCTCCCTGACACTGGCCAGCACTGAGATTGTCCAGCACACTGATACTCTGCACTGTTGAATGTTGATAGAAAGAAGAGTTTGTGTCCATTATCTGCATTCCTGGCAGTGCGTTCAGCTGGGTTTGTGCCTCATACTGATGTTTGTGACTCAGGGAATCAGCTGGTTGGTCTTAAAGCTGTAAATTAAGACTAGGTTAGACAAAGGATATTGTTGGATCAGACTGTCGGAACAATGGCCACAGTCTGATCTCAATGCTAAATCTCTGGTGAGTGAATAATGGGCTGCAACTTCAATATGGACAAAGCCCCTTTTCACATCTCTGTTCTTCCTGTTTGACTGGATTTGAGGATTGTGTCCTCATCTAAAGATCTCACTTCTAGTTATAAACGCCATCAATGCCTCTGTCTTTTTATCCAGCTGTCTTTATGGAGTCCTTGATGCTGGCATGACTCAGGACTACTCATTCGTTTTCTGCTGACCTGCAGGATTTGATTTCTTCTCCCTCATCTCTCTTTTTGCCCTTTTCCCCTTTCTCATTGCTCTCTCTATCTTTTTATCTCCTTCCACCTAGGCCTCTTATGCTCCATTATCTCCTTCTTTTATACTCATTTCTAAGATCAACACCTGCTCTTACTACTTGCTTCTTGTGGCTTTATGAGTTAGTGTTTCTTTCTGATTGTTCAAGGCTTCATATTGTGCCTGAAGGGGAGCTGGAAGCCAACAATGCAGCTCTTTGTTCTGTGGGACTTTACAGAGCCAGATCACATTAAAACTTAACTGAAACCTACCCCAGTAAAGAATGCATAATGCCAAGTAGTGTAATTAACATGACAGCAAATATCATCAGTAAATTTCATTTCTCAAGGAACAATGCCTAAACTGAAGCTATTGTAAGGGTTGAAAAACTGCTTTGATGTTCAGGTTTGTAACTGGAAACTGGCACCGCTTGCCTGCTGTGACAAGGCTGAATGGGAATAGTTCACACAATCCTCTCCCACAGGCATCTTTCTAAGAAATACTGGTGAAACTAATTTTAGTTCCACAGAAAATTAGTCTGAAAAGTGATACAGTGCTTGCTGTAAAGGTGTGTCCTCTGTCAGTTCCTCCCATGCATGCTGATGTGGGCAGTCCACCCACTCTAAGTACTTTATTAAGAATTGCTTCTGCCCTTTGCATAGGAGAGAGACAGGAAACATAATCTCAGAACCATAATCTGAATTTCACAGGCAGATGTAACTGTAGTCGCTGCAGTCTAACCAGTTTCATCCTTGCAGACTTTGACATTTTGGTTTTGCTACTGGAAGACAAGAATCTCTCACCTCAGACCTTTGCAACCTCAGCACACCATAATCATTACGCAGCTTCTTCAATGGCCCGGTGAACAGTTCTTTTACATACACTGAAACTGCACACTAATATGAACAGTTTTAAAATCATTTACTTTCACATTTGGACATAAATTCTGTGTGTGTGCATCTGTCTTTTGAGTTTTGCCTTTTTTCTACTAAAGTGGTGCGCCACTGCTGTTTTAATGCTGCTGCTGACTCACAGTCTGGCTACTGCTACTCCAAAAATATTTTCATTTGTTCCATATTTGAACTACTAACTAGGGTAACCACACTCTGCTCAGATTACACACTTGGTTGTATTTGTTAACAACAGTTTGGGTGAAACAGACAATGCTTTAACCCTATAAGAGCCCGTGGGACTGATTTCTGTATATTGCTATCGGTATCTAAGGCCATTGTGAGCAAAATGAGTTGTAAACAATCCTGACAAAAACAAAGAAGCAAAACAAACTAAAACTAAGTTACAGATTTTTTTTTAAATAAAAGGGACCTTGTTTTATTTACTGGTTACTAGGGTGTTGTAAACCAGACAGTGATGGAAGTGTGGAGCACAGACTCCATGATTCCTCAGTAGATCTGTAACAGCAGCTCCTGGGCCATGTTGAACTTCCTGAGCTGATGCAGGAAGTACATCCTCTGCTGCGTCTTGTTGATGATGGAGCTGATGTTGGTTGTCCACTTCAAGTTCCGGGAGCCCAGGAACTTTTCGGACTCCATGACTGAAACAGTGCTGCTGAGTATAGTGAGCGGAGATAGGGTGGAGGTAGCTCCTCCTAAAATCCACTATCATTCCCAGAGTTTTCAACATGTTCAGCTCCAGGTTGTTACGACCACACCACAGGGCCAGCTGTTCAACCTACTGTCCCTAAACTGACATCAAAATTGTACTTAATTACAGTACTTGAGTAAATGTACTTAGTTACTTTCCACCCCTGCTTGAAAGTCTGATTAATGTAATTAGTTGCATTGGAAATGTTGATAGTTTTGGGGCAGAGTTGATCACTTCTAGGAAGTAAAGTCCACTGTACATGAAACAAAAACAACACCCACAGTTTTACTTTGTATCCTGGCATTCAGATTTTAATGAATACATGTTCGTGTTGTGTGTTTAGATCTGGTCTTATGCTTTAAATGTTATAAGACAGACCACAGACACAGCAGCAGTGTTGATGGCGCCCAAATGGGGCCTCTGCATGTCAGATAGCACAGAATTGTAAAAGGGTGGGATACACACATGCTTGTGTCTGATGTGTGTGTGCATGTGTTGATATGTATGCATGTTTCCGAAA